TCCCTCCCGTTGATGGTGATTGGCGCTGGATGTTGCTTGCTGTTGTTGTTGTTGGTTGGTTATTTTCATAACCTTCGTCTTGTCTATGTTCACCTGGAGTCCTGTCTTCTCTGGCTGCTTCTTCGACCAGGTTGTCGGTTTTATCTTGTAAGTTTTCGATTTTGTGTGACATCAAACATAAATCATCTGCGAAATCCAGGTCTTCTAGGTTCTTCACGTCGGTCCAGGATATCCCTGTGGGAGATCTTTATTACTCTGAAATCATTGTGTGGATATCTACACTGAATTCAGCGTAAAGAACAATATCCGTATCTTTAAAGGTGATATGAGATCAGCCAATGCTTCTACATGTGCTTCAGAGACTTACACGTCAAAAGTATTTCCTACAGAGTGCTGCTACAGACCCCCATCATCAGTAGCAACTAACTACGTTCGATACGGAAGATCAGAGGGGTGACCAGAAAGGAAGCAAAGGATAAGCAACAGGGAACTCTAGGCGGCAATGAAACTATGAAGAAACTATCACTCAAATAAAAAATGTGTGAAAGGAAATGGATATTAGATGGTTGAGGAATCTGGAGGAAGCCCTGAGTAGACGAAGGCTTCGTGCTTGTTAGCACTCACCAATCGGCAAGCCGTATCTGCAATCTTCAAGGTACTCATGTCCCCATCTGAGATTTGAATCTGTGTCACCCAGTTCTGCAGTCAGGATTGACTGTACTAGATACTTTGATTGAATACTAGTTAGTAATTAGTATATTGTTTCTAGTCTTTTGTTTGGTTCAGACTGAAGGCAAAGTTAAACTTTAAGCACCACTAACCACCAATCAGCAAACGACCTTCAACGAACCAGTCACATGAAAGAGGTAATTTTGATTAAGGAAAACGTATATTTATGGGAAAAAAAGCATAAAAACTGCATAAAACTGTTACATAGGGTATCTTTCTCTAACATGTGACAGAAACATCTCCCAGTTTAGCATAGGAGTGTCAATAGAAAAGTCACACCACATTCTGTACATATATTCAGCTAAATGACTATAAATGAGATCCTTTTGAGATCCATTTATAGTCCTAATCCTATTTTTCAATCTCCCCCCAAAATCCTTCTATGGAATTTGTGTGTGTCCCTGGAATGGGATCCACGATTCAGAGATACAGCGAGTTATAACCTTCCCAATCATATGTACTATAAGTCCCTGTTTCACAAGTCTAGTAATGATAGGTATTAAAGTAGTTGACCTTCCGTCTGGAATTCTCTCCATGAATCCTTTCCGTAGAGAGGTGTCATATAAACCAACTACCCAAATATTGTTGGCTCGCTGACAACCATGGTTGTATTTTTCTCAGTTGCCACGTGCACAACGATACCTTCTCCGCCCAACAAAAAGAAGTAATATTCCATTTTCCACGATGCAATGTCTCTGCAGTGCTGGTACCACTGAATTGTTGACACGAAGCTACTTTTGGTTTCAGCAGCTGCGCCTCTCACAGGCTGTTTTAAAACCCAGTAGTTACAAATGTACGAAATCTGGCTTAGGAAGAGATGCCACCTAGCAAAAATGTTCGTGCGAAATATTAAAATTATCAGCTTACCTTCCGTAATACTAACTCGTCTCAAACAAATTGCACAAGGATGGACATATCCATCAATCAACATGCTAAAGCTTTTTAAACTCATGACACCATCACATGAACAAATCCTCTCCTTCCTAAGCAAGCCCAAATCCTCCTCGAACTGTAACCGTAACTTCGTTAGAGCATGCATTTGAACGAATCAAGCTCTATAAAAACTTGAACTCACGTGCATGGACCTGATTGGACCATTCCACGTCGTTTACTGATTGGTAGTTAGTGGTGCTTAAAGTTTAACTTGGCCAGACTGAATTCTGTCAACCAAGTTTGCAATGAGACCACCACCTTAGGAAGGATACGAGTTCCTTCAAGATTGCAGATACGCCTTGCTGACTGATGAATGCCACCAGTAGGCACGATACTTAGGTTGAAGGCTTCCTCCCGATTTCCTCCAACCATTTAATAATAACAATTCACAGTGCACTGTGATGGCTAGCCACCTAGTGGCATGGTGGCCACATTGCAAACTTGACTGGTAGAATTCATTCTTCACGAAACAAAGACTAGACGCATGATACTAGTAATAACTATGTCCAACCATCAAAGTAGACAATGGATATGCGTCGAACATATCCTGAAGAGGCCGTTGAGAGTGACAAAGCGCATCAGATCCTATAGTGGAACAGACGAATCAGAAACAGTGAATTGAGCGCGTCTGACTGTAGCATGAAGTAGGTCGTCTGAGGAGGAGATTAAAGCTTATTGCAATTGTTGTGTAGCTGCATAAAGACAACAGAAGAAAAGAATGCAGTGTAGTTTTATATATGTTAGAATCTAGATAACATAATTTTTTCATACGTGTGCATCAACAATTCTGTCATATTGTAATGATTCAGGTAGAGAAGCAGAAAAAGAAAGAAATTACAATGTCATCCTCAGAATAAATTATTATTATTATTCCCTTGCGTTCCGAGTGGAACATAGGGCTTCAACAACACATCTCCACTTTCTTCTGTTTTCTGCTGTCCTCTTCAGCTGGGTCCACGATTGACAAACTCTCTCATCTCTTCCTCACACGATCTCCTCCATGTCACCCTCGCACCGACGACCCACTCGTCGCTTCCCATTGGGATTCCACTCGAGCGATGATCTGTATTGCGCGTGATGTCATTCGACGGCCTCCTCCATCTCCATTTTCTCCTACATATTTGTTGAGCGATCGGCTCTTGGTTGGTTTGTTTGCCAGCCAGAGTTTCTTGTTACTAATTCTTTCTGGCTGACCATTTTATCTCCGGTATGGAGCAGCTGTTGATGAAAGTCTGCAACCTGTTGGAAATCCTTTTCGTGATACACAGTGCAAGTTTCTGACCCGTATAGAAGGACCGACTTGACGCTGGTGTTGAAAATCCGAATCTTGTTCCTTATGTTGAGTGCAGAAGATTTCCAAACTGGTGTCGGGTTGATGAAGGCGTATCTTGCCTTTCCGATTCTGGCTGTTCGGCTTTGACATCTTCATCCGTTCCGAATTCCTGTAGTTGAAACGATGCTTCCTAGATAAGTGAAGGAGGTAACCTCTGTTAAATCTCTCCCGTTGATGGTGATTGGTGCTGGTTGTTGTTTCTGTTGGGTTGTTGGTTATCTTCATCACCTCCGTCTTCTCTATGTTCACTTGGCGTCCTGTCTTCGCTGCTTCTTCAGTCAGTTTGTTGGTTTTCGCCTGTAAGTCTTCGAGTTTGTGTGACATTAGACATATATCATCTGCGAAATCGAGATCTTCTAGATGAGTCTTCTTATCGGTGGTCCAGCGTATTCCTGTCTCCTCGCTCCCCACAGTCAGAATAAATTGGTTAAAATGAAATAGGTACTTGGGAATAGTGATTACGTAATAATGAAGAATCATTTGAAAAGTGAACTTTAATCAGCAAAAGCATAGAAAGAAAGATAAACTAATATAATGTAAGAGGAGAATGAAACCAAATCTGGTTTAATAATTACGAAGAGTGTTCAATACATATTATTACTTTTATAGTAACTTTTAACACAACTACAGTCAAATTCGCAATTCGCTAGCTACAATTCGGGTGGTGGATGATGGTGGATAGACAGTGGAATCCAAGCCGCATATTTCTTCCTATTTGGGACTCGTCACCTAGGTGTGCCTGCATTCCCCAGTGAGCAAGCGATGGTGTTCCCATCGAGGCTTAAACGCAGTGCCCATAGTTTCAAACGTCAAAGCATCATCCGCTACACCGCTTGAACCACGGGTCTTATTGATTATTCAGTTTAATTTAAATTTTCCCGTTGATTGATTGGACCGAAGTGTTCGGTCTCAGGTTGACGAAATGCGCATCCTGGATTCCACTGCTAGTCACCACCCACGACCAATTGACTTCAAGTTACATGGCCAGGCATCGTCGAAGCATCTGCACTAGGAGCCAACATGTCAACCTGAGACCGAGCACTTCGGTCCAATCATTCGACAGGAAAATCTAAATTGAATTATACACAATTCGGGTGGTTTCAACTGATTCAGATCTTTGAACTGAGTGGAACCGAGTACACCACTGATGACCTGGGCCTCAAATGAGCAGAACTATCATCCGGTGTTTAAATCACTCCGATCTGGCTAATACGAACTACTGGTTGATATGCTTATTATCAATCAGTTGTATATAATACCATGCAATATGCCTATTAGACTTGTCAGAGTTCACGCTTATGAAATATGCACAATACTTGTCAAAGACTAATACTATACAATCTAAATATAAACAAGTCATCTGCCGTTTTTGATTGTTTCTCCTTCGATAATACTTACATTCAACAAGTGCATTCTTTTTTTGTCCCTATTGCGTTCCAACTGGATCATATGGCTTCAGGCTTCATTCCTGGAAGTTTCAGTGGTGTCGGTTGGCTAGGATTACTAGTCTCTCACTCAATCTTCCATCATTTTCTGGCCCAGTTTTAGCGTTCTCTGCCATTAAACCACTGACGACGGGACCGCATCATAAAACTTTTGCTAATGTCACTAAGCTACTAACAAGTAGTGTGATTTGTTATGTGAAAATTGTTTTGCGAATTAATGAAATATTCAATTAAGTGACTGAGTGAATTTCAACGTAGACCTTTGCAAAGAAGTGCACCAGTTCAAGTTTCCACACGAAATAGACTTTAACAATAGTTGAGCTTAACCCTATAGATTATGAATGATGAGTCATTAATCACGAGGGAATTTTTTTGGTCTTTTGTATGTATCTTAGAAATATTCTTCATTTGTTCGATTGCACACTAGAATGTGTTTTCATGTGATGAATATTGACAGAAGAGATACTCATTATTCTTTGCATAAACTTCTCAATCAACTGCCTGTTTCTACTTTTATGTGTCTATCTACATTTACTGTTGTTGTGTTTTTTTATTTTTAGAAGAATTCAAGTAACAATGCAAGAAGCTTCATTGATAGCAATTCAACCGATTGATAAATTGATTACACCAAAAAGGCCAATACATCGGTAGCATGCTGCCCTGTGTAGTAATAGTGATAAATTACAACAACAATGACCAACAAGCCCGGCTATCGTCTAGTATCGTCTATGATGCTGCCTCCGAGAGAGTGAGATAGAGTTTTACATTTGATTACAGACATCATCTACTATTGTTCTACTACCGGTCACCTATCCACTTGTTGTCTACCCCCACTGTTTATTATTATTATTATATTGGCTTAACTTTTTTATTTTAACGAATTACGTAAAAGAAGCCTAGCAGATTATGAGATCCTATCGGGTTGAATTGACTGATTGACTAACGCTCTCTCTCTCTCTCCCGCTATACAACATATCAATATGGTAATTCAATTATCATGTATTTTAAAATACAGTTGAACAATTGTGTTAAGCCTATTTTGTACACATTTCTGTTAGTATGTATTTGTGCCTTGTTTTTTTATGCATTCATTGCCAGACTTTTTAGCCTTTTGTTTTTCCCCAATATTTCTTTTCTTCCTTGTGTTTTTTATTTCTTGCTCACTGTATGTTTGTGTGTTTAGCCTTCTCCTTGCCACGTGGTATCTATTGCCTTCTTCCCCCCCCCCCAGTGCCTAAGCATACATACATACATATCAAGTTGTGATAGAGTTCGGGGAAGATGGCTATCGGGCGGGGGCGATGGGCGGCGTGGATGGATACGTGAAAACGATTTCTTCCCTTGAAATGCTTCCATATGTGTTGCATATTTTTTCATTATTATTATTACTTCTTGCCTTCGTATATTTTCTGTCTTGTCGCATACATATCATCTAATTGTCTGTACACAGAGTGGTCCCCTTTGTGTGAGCGTTTGTGTGCGTTATGCTTGGCTTACTTGATTCTAGTACACACAACTACCACCAACAGTGAGTGTATACTGGTTGCTGGCAGCCAGGATGGAGGTGGGTCCCGGGGACGGTGGGGGGTGGAGGGCATTCTAACAATATTGATCATTCGTTGTACACTATTATCATTTGCTGCTGTGCATATCATCAATGTGTTGTTGTATAGAGAGAGAGATATTGAGATATTTTGTATTTTTCACTTCCCTTAGGAAATCACTCACATTTATTGATTAATTTTCTGTATATTTTAGAGTGTATAAAGATGGGATAAAATTAGATTGAATTTTGAGGCGTTATTCCCATAAAAATAATTGGTACTTTATATATACATATGTAATTATGTAAGAATTTCTGTTAAGCACACTGATTTAACGCCCAACACCTCCTACATGATTTATTGATCAGTTGATTGATTGATTGAATAGCATTTATTACTCATTCTTTTGTTTCGAATCTGTCAATTTCATGTGTTTTCCTTATCTCGTTATTGATTACGTTATCACATTATCATTCCATCCGTCTTCTTGCGTAAGTCAACATTCCGTCGGTGGCTAACTCTTTTGTTCCTCGTTTGGTTTGTTTGTTGTTTATTTATTTTTTCACTTTCTATTTTTTTCTGTTTGTGTAAAAATTGGAATAAATCAATTGTTGTCATGGTGACAACGATGATGAAAGCGCGGCAATTACAATAATGATGAAAAGACTGCTTATCAATCAATTATCTTTCTTGCCCTTCGAACACTATCGATCTGTCGTTTTGCTCTTGTTTTTCACCTAATGTGTTATATTTTTTGAAATATTTCATGTTATTTCGATGTATATGATACTACTTATAACAATATACTACTGTTAAAGTATTGTTCTTTCAATATGTTTTGATGAATTCAACTTATAATTTTTTCTTGAATGGATGTTCAACTTGGCGATTATTCCTTTCTTTTTTTAAAAAATTCATCCATTCAATATATTTCACATTTTTTTCTCCTTTGTAAATTTTTGGGCGCGAAAGACGGATGGACATTGGCGGTGGGGGTTGTTCTTTGACTTTAATGCTGCTTTTCACTCACCCTCCTGCCTGTCTCTTCCCTAGAAAAATAAATAAATAAACACCGAATTCACTTGAAGTTTCCTTTTCTTCATTTTTTTCGCTCGTTTAATTAGTTTCGGGGTTGCGGTCGGCCTTTTGTTAAAATGATGAGATACAATAAAAACCAAAGTTATTTAACACCTTACGAAAAGGGGAATTTCAGTCGTGGTCGGTGAAATAGTCTCGAAATATTATAGTCATTTGAGTCAGCTCACCTTTCTTTCCCTCTTAATGTTGCATAGAATAACTGTAGGCAGCAATCGAGTTTGTAGGTTCTATTGTGAGATGACATCAGCTAGGGAACCATTGGAAAAGTAGGAAGTACTCGACAGTTGTTTCCTACCCCCCCCCCCCAATTTGAGGCTGTTCAGCAGTACACACTCAGTGGGGTTCAAACCCAGGACTTTTCGATCACTAGTGGAGACCTCAGTCATTGGGAGCTAATCAATCAGGTGGCCTATGAATTCCAACTTGTAACCAGCAGGTCCTAGGTTCGAACCCCGGTAGATGTGTGCTTTTAAAGAGTCTCAGACTAGAGCGAAACAACTGTCCAGTACTCCCAGATTTTACAGTGGTTCTCTGATTCAAGTCAGCTAGTGATGAAACCCTGAGCGACGAAATACGCATTCATTTTCAATTAGTTCCTCATCATCGGCAGGCTCTACACTAATATTTATAGTTTTTTACATCAGTGAAGTCAAGACGTCTGTAAATTTTATCCATGAATGCATCGAAACAGTCCGCTACCCCAAAGCTTACTGGAAATCGTTCTCGAAACGCAAGGACACTTAAGCGTCATGATCTCTCAATTAGATTGACTCCTTGAATTCATGTCTTACTGAATTGACAAAGAATATCTTTTATGAACTCGTCGCCAATATGTTATGGTGTCGTTGCCGATATTATGGTGTGACCGAGTGGAAATATGCGCTAATGGGGATATAACGGACGATAACGTACAGACTGGTATTGCTTAGTGGTTGATTTGTCCTGACGCGAAGAGGAAAATCAGAAGACCACCACGTTCACGAAGATACGTGTATTTTCCAACAAGGAAAATTAACTGTCACACAAAAGTGTGAGTGGAAAAAGTACGAAAGAGCGTGAATTAACTGTACAATACAAGAGTATATATGAAAATAACTAACATACATGAACCAATCATAAGATAGACAGTAGTTTTTCTTACCACTACTGGATTCTGATTGGTTGCAATGTCATGTGACCAAGGTCATACATTGTTTATTTAGTTAAAGGACAGACAAAGCATATTGTGAGATATAATGGCATAAC